TTATCTGTGATGAATGTGATCATTATGTTTATCTAAAATGTACCAGTGAGAAAAAATAAAATTTTCATAGAGTAATAAATGGCCAAGAATGGTGGCAGATTTGAAAATAAAGGAGAGCAGCCCTGCTAAACATTGAGGCACACTACAAAGCCTGACAACAGAAATAACGTGCCATGGGCCCAAATGCAAACAAAAATCGGGTCCACCAGAAAGAAATGAACCCTCAAAAATAAACCCTTGTAAACTTAATGTACGTTAGAAAAGTTATATCAGAGAAGGCATGGTGGCACACACCTGCAATCTCAGCACTTAGGAGGCTGAGGCAGGAGGAGGATTGCTGGGAGTTTGAGGTCAACCTGGGCTACATAGTGAGTCCAGACCAGACAGAACCACAGGGAGACCCTATCCAAAGGGGGAAAATGTGATCCTAGATCAGTTTAAAAAATAAAAAATCTTCACTCACTAATAAAATGGAAAAGATAAAACTAGACCTTACTGTTGGAGACCACAAATTGTAAGTTGAGGCTAGGGTCCAGAGGCCTTAGCAGAGGAGGCCTTCCTCTCCCCATGATGCTGTGACACTCCAGCTCGAGACTACATCAACGTGGGATTACTGCTGCCCTCTGAGTCCCCCGAACTGACCCTCATCAACGTAAGAGCTTCGCCTGTTTAAGATCACTCAACATCACCCTCTAAGTCATCCAATACTCCCTCAATTATTCTATGCACCCCATAGAAGTAATGACTAGCTCGGGGTGTCATTGTCGTTGCCATCCTGAGGCACTGACCGCCCAGCCCCCTTCATGTACTAAATTTATCTCTGTCTCTTATTTCATCCTTTCACTGTACCCCTCACCCAGGCAGTTGGGGATCTTGGCCAGATCCGCAACAGCTTACCTCATGTTATACAGAAAGATAGACTCCCTAAGGGTTTTATTAATCTGTTAAGATATAAAATACCTATAAATAAAACTAATAGAACACCATATCAGTGGACTTAGGATGAGAAAGTTCAAAAGAA